CAAGACATTGCCTCATCCACATCTGAAGGTTTAAGAAAGAAGTGGGTTATAAATTCAATCGAGAGCAAGTATATAAATAAATATATAATACAACTGGCTATGATTTGAACAAATGTATTCATTTATCTTAGTATATATACTTCTACGGAGGGTCGCTAAATCTTTTGCTCACGCGTCAACGTAAAGCTTATATCGAGTAAAGGATTATCATATGAGGGACTTTGTTAAAGTTGTCGATTTTTTATTAAACTGCATCTTAAAATGAAACAGCACATTCCTTATATAAAATTTACTGCATATTTTTGAAATATTTTGAAATATATTTTCAAAAGGAATACACATGTTATGTAAAAATGTCAATACTTATAAAATTAGAAATAATATTCCATTTGCACATCATCATGTTTTTTGTATATAAATATATTGATATATCAATTGAAACTAAAACAATTATCAACATAGGGTCAATTGTTATTTATCTGATTAACTCGTGTTTTACGTGTTCCTAAGATATCATCCTCCAAGCACATTATTATTATTATTATTATTATTATTATTATTATTATTATCTCACCTTCATCCACAAGCGTCCCAAATATTTCGTCGTCAGTGAACATAGGTCCGTCGTTATAGCAAGAGTTATAAGGTTGTGCATAGCAACTCACTGAGTCGTTACGGGTCTTGGTCGTTCTGTGAGCACCGGATCTTTTGTTCTGGAAAGATGACCCCGGAAACTTATTGTTGTTATACCGTGAGCCTTCGTAGTAATTGAAATTGAACCATTGCTTCTTATGGCAACGTAAAATATCAAATCAACGTTAAGTGAAATCAAGTTTATTTTTCTTGCAAAACGGAATAGAATAAAAGCAACGATATATTTGGCGATCTTATACCTGCCACATATTTTCTGGAGTTTTCTCATCAGTGTATTGGACAAATAAAGGCCAGCGGCAATCAATTTCTGACAAGTAACCTCTGTGAATGGGGGTAGCTGCGCTCAACGGCATCTATCGAACAAACCATATAACTCGATCAAAAGACATGGGGTGTATTGCAACCTGATAAAAATGTTTTTTTTTAATGTTTCTTCAACATGTCACTTCAACAAAAAGTATGCTGAAAGTTACATCCATCTCAGCATATCAAGGTCTATCAAATCACAGTTTGATTACGGAATGGGTGAATATCTAATTCGTTTTTAAACAATTGATGAGAAAACTTGCTAAATTAAATAAATTAACACGTTTTTTAGCTATAAATGCCGTGACTTATTTTTTCAGTGTTATCATATTAAATGTACTAAGATCGATTGTACGTGTACATAAAATCATAAAATTCAAGCAGACAGTTTTTTTTTTTTTTTTTTTTTTTTTGAAAACGTGCTCACAGGTATTAATCAACATTTATTGAATGAAGGTTACTATGTTTTATTATTATTATTATTATTATTATTATTATTATTATTAAGCTTACAAGAATTGGACAAAGGGGAGTTAGTTGATCGTGTAAAGTTCTAGCTTCGTCTAAATCTGCAGCCTGCAGGGTCACTTGCAGCGCGCAGCAGGTACCGCCGCAAACACACATGTCAAGACGGATGGTTCCTGGCTGTGAATCTTCCTGTTCTTTGCCTTTATAGCTGGTATGTGAGAGGTCTTCTTTAATGGCATCCATCGTGTGGACGTCTTTGAATACTGTAAAAAAATGAATGCTATGCTCATCATATCAGGTGCAGGGCGTAGTCTGGGGCAAATAATTGATGGAAGTTTTGATTCTTAAAAGAGAAATTTGTAAAATTATTTCTAGTAAGTTTTACAATTAAAGAAATTTGCGAGTTGGTTAAAAGCAGTAATTGTTTTCTTTCTGTGAAATAAAAATAATGTACATTTGGTTGGAAGAAATTCAAAAAAAATACATAAGCAGGATGATTTATTTTCCCATAATATTTTCGGTTTTGGTAGACACCCTCCCAAATAAACGTTTTAATCAAAAGAGAGGAGATCCAACCCCAATATTTTTGCAGCACGCCTTGGTACGTCCATCTCATTTATCAGTATTCTCTTCTGATGTACAACAATGACTAGGAAAAAGCATTTAAGTCGAGATACATCGACCTCGGTAAGCCTTTGAGCAAGCTGGACATACTCGAGAGGTTACTTAAGTCCGAGACAAATTTACATTGGTCATTGGTCACTGTATTCTAACATGACACGTGTATAAATCTACATACTTGGTATGCGTTCTGTGTATCTCCCTCTCTTGTTTGAAGTGCAGTTTTGTGCCGCTACACTGAAAAAAATTGTTTGTGAAATTTATTTAGTTTTATAATCTTTTTTATCTGTCTTGGTTCAAATAGTTCAGTAAACTAGTTAAATTAGGACATATGTTAAAAACAAATACTTAACATGTATAGGCTACTATAGATTTCATTTTAGCTGAAGTAGACTTTAAAAATACTTGGTCTGAAATATTTGATTCAATTTTCTATAAAAAGCCAATGTCAAACCTCCTCCATTTACCTGTTTCAAATATTGTAAGGTACCGTGCAGAATGAGGTATGTTGACCTACATGCAACTTCTAGTAATGTTCACTAACTCAATGGGAACTCTCGTCGAATGCCATCAGATTAATATAAAAAATTAACACGCTTAATCTTGGCGTTGAAAAGATTGTGGAAATATTTACGATTGTACGAGTACGTTGGAAAGTAAAGGAGGCGTGTCAGTCTGTTAATCTGATTACATTCAGCGAGAGTCAGAGAGTATTTAGCGTGCAACCTAGGTCACTATAAGTCATTCTTTACGGCACCTTAGGTTCTATCAAAAATTATCTTATTTCATCATTTGGTAAAGCTTATAAAACATGCGAAACAACGATAAAATAGCCAATGTCTGTGTTATCCTACCGGTACCGTTCCCCAGAAAATATCTCATCTGGAGAAAACAGAGGACGAGCAACACCGGAAGTGGGGATTGGTGCGTGCGCTGGTCGGGTGAAACAAGGGGTTCCGGTTCTAAAAGAGTGAAGTAAACAGTTTAAGCGAGTTAACCGTACGGTCTGCACTGCTCAAATATCATAATGTCCACAAAACATAGAATATAATTTTTTTATAAACAATAATTTATTTGACAATCATATAAAATTTGTAGATATGGTGGCGAAAGATGAAGCATTTTACAGGAAGAATTGACTTTTAATCTGCTGTTTTGTCAATCAGATAATTACTTCAAGAAAACAAAAAATGTTAATAAAATCACGTCAAAAACAAGTCACCTTGGATAGGCTCCCATTGTTAGAACAGCTTTGTCTGCACAGCCCAATGCAATCGAAATCAACTGCCTCCTAAATGTAGTATATATTACATTTGGTAAGTACACCACAGTACATGTAATAAACATTCCATTTAAAATGCCAGCAGTGGGTGAAAATGTTATGGTCTAAAATAATGATTCCAATTTCTTTTGATTATTAAATATGCATTGACCTAATTTAGAGCACGAGATTTATCACTTTATTAAAAATGTGTTTGTTTGCCCTCTGAAAATTTCACGTTATTCTTTTTTGACATCATGCAGACACACGTGCTGTGCTAAGATGTCACTGAAGTAGGCATCAGAGCCTGTGGCGGGGGTTGACCTTTACATTTTAAGTCCCTTTCAAACCCACGTGGGCTGGCATATATGGAGGGGGGCGGGATAAAGGAAACTTCTAGTACAGAAAGTAACAAAAAAAGGTGCACAATACATGCTGAGCGCAAATGGATGTAAAAAAAAATATATATATATATCTATTTATCTATTATTTTATTTGTTTCTTAATTACATACCTATTTGCCATACTTGCTTCTACAGAACGTATGGACTCTATACCTCCTGAAAAAGGCACGAAAGGCACCGATTCAACCATGTAACGGGCGTACTCCCTTTGCCACATGGCAGGACAAACACTGAATAAGAAAATAAAATATACAATATTAACATCTGCGCCATATATTTCTCAATGGTTTGCAATTAGCTGACGTGCATTGTACTTATTTTTAAGTTCTTGCTGATATCATTGGCCTAGGGTTTTATCTATGCCGTGATTATGGCTATAATGGCGAATCAGAATGACACAAGCTGTTCTCTTCCGCAAGAATATGATAGGGAGTATGAAATAGTGTATTAAAAAGCATCCAATGTAAAGTTCTGAGAATGCGTTAATCAAGATAATCAACATCAACGCTTATTTACTTGTTGAAATCTAATCTCTTTAATTTCTCCAATAGCTCTTCGGATTCTAGCGAAACTTTGACAGATTTGTTCTCGTGGTCAAGGTATACCAGGATATACTCAATCTAAAATGATAAAGGGAATAAATGGATAAAATGATATTACTACCACTGATAATACTAATACTATTATTATGTACTACTTCTACTACGTTTACTACAACTGCTAAATATAATAATAATGACACATCAATACATCTTATTATTTACTAACAATACATAAATTAGCATAAATCACGTCGCTCGAAATGTTTAAATGACCCATCCCCTTACGTGCAACTCCTTGGCAACATTCAGAACAGACCATCCCCAGACTAATTGGTCCGTGGATCAAATCTGGCCGACTCCACTTGAAAGCGATGCCGCCTAATCAACTAATACCACACTACAGGGACCAGGCAATTAAACTTCGAAGCCAAGATTTAATCCATTTAATTGCTAGACCTCAGCAGGCCCGGCCCGTGATGTGGGCTGAGTGAACCTTTTCAACAGAGGTCAATTGGCGTCGTTCACAATTTAGTCCGCTGATCAGTTAGTCCTCAGATCATGTGTTGTAAATGCGACCATTGAGGAAAACTCACCTCGTCTCCCCATAGGAGACCCCTCTTCCTTGCATCCTTTTCCTTGTGATATAACCCTATGAATTCCCTTGCAGCGTTCAATCGGATTTGCGGCCATACGCCCGCTATTTCATCGGATGTCAACCATCGTTCTCCGTTCTGTTCTAAGCCATTCATTTTGATGTCTGAAGTTGCCTGTTCACTGTTCACCCTATTTTATGCAGTGTGATGTGATTTTAAAACACACAATGAAAGAGCCTATGCCCCAAATCTTAATTTTCATGAGAATCCCATCTAATTTTTTTTGACCGACCTCAAATGTATGCCATATCCAAAACCGTTTACAGAATTACGATTCTTAAGCCTGTTCTAAGTGTCAAGTCTAGGCGCTAGTCTTGCAATGAACTGAGACTGGCGACTTCCTCTCGTGGCGTTAAAAAAATAAAAAAAAACTTGAAGGATTGCAATGCCGTGAAGAGTTTTGTTCGGTATTGGAATCAGGATTTTGCATACCGAATATTACTTGCACTTTCATCAAAAGATGGCGCAGCAATCCGTGTCAAAACTTCATTGACTTTACTACATAAGGGCCTCACCGTCTAAACACCGGCCGTAGAGCGACCGTAAATGACCCTGCGTGACGTATATCTATTAAGTGAAGAGGACAGCTTGGAATAGTGCATCAAAAAAGTAAATACATTAATAAACGCGTGAACAATAACACGGGCTGAAGGTCAGCTTTACTTTACGCCGCATTTAGATGTGTTTCTGTCTCCCTCTGGTAAATAAAATTATACCACGGCTGGCGCTTCGAACAATAGGATAATTGCACTTGTATTTCGCACACAGGCTTGCCTGTATTTATACGCTTCAGTGAGTTTATCCTATTGTTCGAAGCGCCAGCCGTGGTATAAGACAGTTACAACTACTGGTCGTCCACTGTATGCGACACACAAGAGCAAATTATATCTCGGCTAGCCTCGATATAATAGGTAGGTTTCGCTATACCGGTCCGAGAACTAGCCCGCCAAGAACAATTCTCGTTCCCGATCAGCGATCCGACATCCAGCGCCTGGTTCTCGGAATCCGTCAACGAGAACGCGAAAACAAGCGCAAAAAGGGATGACGTTCTACGCAATTTCTTCAAATTATCGGTGCGCTGGTTCTCTGGCCGGGATAGCGAAACCTCCCTATTAACGCATGTCGCATATGGTGGACGACGTGTAGTTGTAACTTGTACTTGTCTCATAAAAAAAAACATTGTAGACACCTATTGTTTAGATTAATGTTTAGTTTAGATGTCCTATCACGGTTACGTTCACCGGGCAGGAATGTTACATAACACCTAGTTCTTGGAATGGCTTGCACCAGATGGTGAAGGTGGTGACGGTGGCAGTAAAGTGGGAGAGACCAAAAGACCTACTGACACGAAAGGAGTCTTGGTTGTTACAACCATTCTTGAATCGCCATCAACTTTCAATTTTCTGCCAGCTTTGGGTGGTTTGAGGCAAATGTCAGAGTAGAAAGAGAGAAGAAAGAAGGACAGAGATCCTTCAGGAGACATTGGTGGGAGAAAGAAAGATAATGGTAGTTCTTTTTTGTTTGCCATATTTTAATAGCCAGTCACTTCCCAACTTATCAATCCCCACATCATCTCTGTCTTCTCTCTCCCTCTCTCTCTTTCTCTCTCTTCTAATTATAACGTAACAGACCACCGCACTCACCTAACCGCACCGTCACGTGTCTATACCAAACCTTGCACTGAACAGTTCTCATTTCTCAGTATATATATATCACACCTAGTTCTTGGAATGCCGGGTTCCTATCCCTTACTTCTTTTTCACTTTACTTTCAAAGACTGAACGGGATAGGGGAATCGATATTAGCTCACTTAGTCGAAGGACAAAGTAAACTATTTCAGCGCTAACATAAACGTCTTCGGTTTAGGGTCTTTGCAACGTATGTTTCTGTCTATATCCTTTTCTTACACTTTCGTATGTATTTCGTGTAATTTTTAGTAATATTTTTAAGTTACTTTTTTCTTGTATTTTAATTTGTTTTCAGTATTTCTACATTTTACCCTACGTTTTTGTTACTTTTCTTATTTTGTTTTTTCTTTTCTTTCAGTTTCACGGTTGATTATGGCAATACATCTTTAAGCCAAATCAATCATTTTGAGACTTATTGACTGAGTGCAGCTACATGTCAGTTTTATTGAACAATCGATAAATAAAAACAGCAGTGTTTTTCACATGAAAAATATTTGTACTGAAAATCTAAGAAATATACCCTAGGTTCTAGATTCCGGTATTGCCAGCTCGATCTTGTTTTCATATATTACCCGACCGCCATATCAGCAATACCAGGCTCTAGCGAACACCGACACCTTGGGCGTTCTTCTACAAAATTTTGAATGGGGCGCTTCCATATTTGGAGGTCACAAGGCTGGTACGTCGCTACTGTGTCCCTCTGTCTTTTTCTTTTAGAAACATTATTTATTTTTCCCTTAACATCTTAAAAATAGTAAATAAAATTATAAAGAAGCAGAATTAAATCTGTTTTACGTTTCATTTTGCTCTTATGTCATTCAACTGCAGATTCACTGTGAAGCAGTTCTTTTTGATTGACGGAAATCGTACACTGTCGCTGTTCTTCAGAGCTCACTGTTGAAGCCCGATTCACAGTGACTCTGACACTCAGGGCAAAGAAATATGGCATGACATTTTATCAAGACTACATAGGAGAGGTAGTTAGTGTGGCACGTATATCATGAGAATGAGGAGGCAGTACAAGTGCCATATACTAAAACATGATTGAAAAGACAGGACTGGTGCAGTGAACAAATAATGTGATTGCGGTGACAAAACTGGCGTTATATATTTATGCAGCTCATGTGAGGAAAGAAGAGTAGGACTGTCTACCAAAAATGCTATTGAGGAGACCAGACTAGTGTAATATATATNAAACAGATAGACCAATTGTCATTAAACTCACAGGAGTGGTCAATCTTACTAAAATGCAGGTTGAGTTTGAAAATTAGTATAATCGGGCCATTGTTTTAGAAGTCATGCTGTTTTTTCACATTTCCTCAGATTCAATTCTTAGGCATGTTAACAGTCTTATCATTTAATTAATAAGACACATAAAAGTGTTTGTTTGACATTTACTGCATCTTTACAACATTGTTAGTTGATTATGTAGAAATGATGGTAAACTTGTTATCGTGTATTGTGTAATAAAGTATCAAAAATGGAAATAAACTCATATCATTGCAGTTTGTCAGATTCAGTCATCCACTATGTTCAGAATCTCAGAATGGAGGAAATTGGACATTTAACACTGTTCTATTGATACTTTTCCCATCTAATTAATTTTCTTAGTTGGTCATATAAAAATGGCAGAAAAACCCCCTGAAGAAAGAAAGAAACCGGTCGGGGCAAAAAAGTTGCTGTTCTGTTTTTCTTTTTATAATATATATATATATATATATATAATAAAAGAAAAAGAAGAACAGCAACTTTCTTGCCCCGACCGGTTTCTTTCTTTCTTCAGGGGGTTTTGTTTATTTGTTACTAGGTGATGTCATAAAGGCTTAAATGTGACGTCTTTAACAATGAGTGTTTAATTGTTACTTTTACCAATGCTTTTATCTATTCAATGTAGGTTTATACTTATTAATGAATAGATTTTCTTTTATTTCCCATTTAAGCCTTTATGACATCACCTAGTAACAAATAAACAAAACCTCCTGAAGAAAGAAAGAAACCGGTCGGGGCAAGAAAGTTGCTGTTCTTCTTTTTCTTTTATTACATATAATATTACTCGTACAGGAAAAACGTTTTCATTTTATATATATATATATATATATATATATATATATATAGTTTAATAGAGCTGTTTTTCTTATTTGGGCTGTAAGTCAATCCTAAGAATCATTCTTGTAAGTTAAAAAAATACAGAAAATATTACAAAGTAACAGTACAGGGCACCTGGCGGATGGGAGTGATACTGTAAGTCACATCTTGAAAATGCCAGTTTGAAAAATCAAAAATTAAAGAAAATATTACAAAAATATTCCACTAAATCTGCCATTCAGTCTAGCTGTATAACTATGATATGAATCATCCAATTGAGTTTAAACAGTGTAAACAACTCACAGAAGTATGTTTTATCACAAAAAGGGCAGCCATAGCTATTATTCTGATATCTGAACTTGTCATCAGACCATGTGACCTCCATAGATGGCTATACTTTGTAATAATTTCTTAAGAGATTATAACAAAAGTCCCACACCGATATTGCCAGTATGTGAAAGATAAAAATTTCACAAAATGTACAACAGAATAACATGGTCTATAAGATTACAGTTTCATATGTGAGAGCTCAAATTCACACGATGAAAATCCCAATATGTGAAAAAAAGATGACAGTGAATAAAATAATATAATTACACAATGCTTAAAGACATAAAAACCAACACAACTCCCAATGTGGAAAAACAGAAAATGCACAGTGCTTCTGGTGGATGGGAGTTGAAAGTGATATCTTGAAGATGCTAGTGTTTGAAAAAAAGTTAAAAGAAAATGTAAAATAAAACATAACAAAAAATTCCAATAATGCTGCTACTCAAACTTTTAATCTAGCTGTGTAATTACTAACATGACTAACATTTACCTGCATAATAATCATCAATTCCTAATTATGTGACACAGTTAAGAGAGATAAACCCAGGGGACTTTACAATGAAATCTCAACGTGTGTTTTATATAATCTCATTTAATGGCCACTTGAAAATTAATTAAGCAAATTACTTTATAACCCTAAAATAACATGAAAAATAATTAAGCAAATTACTTTATGATCCCGAATTAATACACTGCCCCCTATCCATATACATTTATTGCACCATATAGCACTCAAAAGAACCGCATTTCTTCCAAAACAGAAAACAATCACAAAGATTTTCCAACACAAGCTGCACTTCAGTCTTATGAAACTTTTCAGTAAGTTTGAGTATCATAAGTAACATAGTTTTCCCTCAATCGCTATCCTGGCAGCAGTGTCCAAAATAGGGTTTCCTTCAACTTTCATGCACTACGAGGGTTGATTGATAAGTAGTGAGCCTAGTGTGGAAGGGGTTAAGCAGGGGTATCCCTTTTCAGCCCTTCTATTCCCTA